CCCAACCCGTGCTCCTTAGAGGACAATTTGAAATGAGATTAGATTCTTACATCAACATTCAGACTTTTTTCTTTGGTGGGGTGGAGGCATAATACATCTGAGGAATAATATTTCATTACCTGGAAGATGAGTTTGTCTCATACTTTTTTTGATATGTAGAATTACAAAAAAGGAAGATGTGGGAATACATGTAAAAAAAAAAGATACACTATGGTTGTGATAAAAAATAAATAAATAAATAAATAAAAAAGGGAAAAAAAAAACAAAAAAGGAAGATGTGTTGTTGTTGTTGTTGTTGTTTCGTTGCTAAGTTGTGACCCCATGGACTGCAGCATGCCAGGCTTCCCTGCCCTTCACAGTCTCCCAGAGTTTGCTCAAACACATGTCCTTTGAATCAGTGATGCCATCAACCATCTCATCTTCTGTTGCCTCCTTCTCCTCCTGCCTTCAGGCTTTTCCAGTATAAGTTTCCCAGTGAGTTGGCTCTTTACATCAGGTGGCCAAAGTATTGAAGCTTCAGCATCAGTCCTTCCAATGAATGGAAATCGGGGTTGATTAGGATTGACTGGTTTGATCTCCTTGATGTCCAAGGGGCTCTCAAGAGTCTTCTCTAGCCCCACAATTTGAAAGCATCAATTCTTCAGTGCTCAGCCTTCTTTATGGTCCAACTCTAACATCATACATGACTACTGGAAAAAACATAACTTTGACTATACAGACCTCTGTCGGCAAAGTGTTGTCTCTGTTTTTTAATAGCTAAGTTTGTCATAGCTTTCCTTCCAAGGAGCAAGTGTCTTTTAATTCCTTGGCTGCAGTCACCATTTGCAGTGATTTTGAAACCCAAGAAAATAAAATTTGTCACTGCTTCCGCCTTTCCCCCTTCTATTTTCCTTGAAGTGATGGGACTGGATGCCATGATCTTAGGTTTTTGAATGCTGAGTTTTCAGCCAGCATTTTCACTCTCCTCTTTCACCCCCATCAAGAGGTTTTTTAGTTTCTCTTCACTTTCTGCAATTAGAGTGGAATCATCTGCATATCTGAGGTTGTTGATATTTCTCCCAGCAGTCTTGATTCCAGCTTGTGAATTATCCAGCCCAAAGGAAGATGTAAACAAGTGTAAACACGGATAGAGTTGTAACAAATTGTGGAATTTGAGGTTTTTGAGAACTTGAAGTTCATCTAGTTCAATTACCTCATATCACAGATAAGAAAACTAGAATTCAAGAGGATAAGTTGTCTTAGAAAAGGTCATACAACTAATTAGTAATAGATGGAGGGCTAAAACCAAGGGAATCTGATGCCCAAACTTGGGCTCTTTTCCCTCTGTATGTATTTTGGGATTTCATGAATTTGCTTCAGTACTTTAAAATTTTGCATTTTCATGTTCTTAACAATATAAAACCATCAACTTTTGCTTATTCTGAACCATCTGAATGGTCATTTAGTATTTCTGTAACCAAACTACAGCACATCCTTCCTTTGTTGAGGCCATAATAGTACAGGCAAGCCAAATACAGGTGAATCTGTCTTTTGCACTGCTATAACTGAATACCACAGACTGGATATCTTATGTTCAATGGAAGCTTATTTCTCACAGTTCTAGGGGTTGATCTACATTCGAGATCAAGACAGCAGCAAATTTTCCACCTGGCTTCCTGGTTTATAAACTGCTGTTTTCCTCTGTGTCCTCACATGATAGAGGATGAGAGATCTCTCTGGTGCCTCTTTTGTAAGGGCACTAATCCCATTCATGAGGGCTCCACCCTCATGAGCTATTCACTTCCCAAGCTCCTCACCTCTTAATATCATCACACTGGGCACTAGGGTACAACATATGAATTTTGGACAGCACACAAACATTCAAGTCATAGTACTAGCCCATAAATGTTAATTAGGACTGAATTCATTTGACAATATATTATGTTGCAGGCGTTCCATCTTTGTACACATTTATTCAATAACTACAAAGTGATAGCAAAAGGTTTTTTCTCCACTGAATTCCAGCAGTAATTTGATTTGATATCAATTTAATGTAGATATCAATGATGCTGTCATGCTGACATTATCCTCAAATTAGCAGGACTGCTTAGTTATTGGGAGACATTTTGTTTTAAATGGCATCTGAGGAATGCTCCTGAGCAGAGTTTTTAAATGAATAGGAGATCTGAGTAACCTCATCTAGCAAAATGCATCTTGAATTCGTTTACTCTTTTATCAAAATATTTGTATAAATAGGCATTTTCTATATTAAAATGATTAAAGTCAAAATTCTGAAACATTAAATATAGGACAGGGCCTGGGACTATTTATACAAATATACCCAATATTGAAAATCTAGTTGTAGCAGAAAGGCATAATCCTTCCTATAAATGGGTAATGATAATTTAAATTTTATTAGTTCCATAACTTTAAACATTAAATTTGTAAGCTTTTCTTCATTTATTATTTTATAAGAACAATTGCAGCTTTCTTCCCTTGTTCATACATATTTTGAAAACATAAAAATAACATACTTCTGCACTTGAAAACATAATTTTTCCATTTCAAAACAAATCCAGGTATTACCCAGTAAAAACCACCTCACACAACACAAACTTCCTCCAAGATGAAAAATTACAATAATGACAGACCAGTTAAGGAAAAGTCCTAGATCTTGGATTCCAGAGTCCCAGGTTCAGGTCTGGCTCTACTAATGACTGTGCGTCTCCATTAATTCAGGTAACTTCTCTGGACCTAGGTTTACTCATTGGTAAATTAAGGAAACTTTGAGAATCACAAATCATTATACCTATTGTTATAAATGGTATATTGGTATAATTGGAACCAGGTACAGAATTAAGTGAAATAGTCCAGCTGTAATGAAAATATTGGGGAAAGTAACTCAGAGGGCATTTGTATTTAAGCTTATTTAAATTCTAAACTCTTTTAGCACAATAAAAACAGCAAATCCATCAACCTGGTTTGATCTGACATTTGCCAGTTTGCAATTCTTAGACCAGATCATCTTTAGAACACCTTAGCTAACTCTAAAGAATTAAATGCAGTGACTCTAATGTAAATCAGGAGGAGGCCAACATCTAAATGACCAGCTTCCCAGGTGCCTCAGTGATTAAAAAAAAAAAAAAATTCCCCTGCCAATGCAGGAGACACAGGTTCAATTCCTGTATCAGGAATATCCCCTGGAGAAGGAAATAGCAACCCAATCCAACATTCTTGCCTGGCAGATCCCGTGGACAGAGGAGCCTGGTGGGCTACAGTCCATGGAGTCGCAAAAGAGTCAGACATGACTTAGTGACTAAACAATAACAATTACAAAAAATGGTAATAGGCATAGAAGGAAATCCTTCAGAAAGTTTCAAAGTTAAGAGAGATGCAGTATCATACGAAGGAATAGGGCATGATCAGGACTGGAAATACATGATGAAAGTGAGTGAAAGACCCTTCTGTGTCCCAGCTGTATCCAACCAAAAGTACTATGTGAACTGTCATCTCTATTCAATTCCCTAGTGTCATACTCTCAATCTTGTCCAAAGATTCACTCACATTCAATAAATTGTAGGTTAGGCACTGTGCCAGATGCTGGAAAGATCTGTAGAAAATCAAATTTATGTTTTTCCTTTGTATTAGAAAATACATTTGATTAGTTGTCTTTCACTGTTGCATTTTTTAACCCTCAATTTGTTCCAAGTATTATTAGGAACTAATTCCAATTAAAATTTGAATATTAAATAAGGTATTTGATGTGGTTTTTTGTCATTTAGAATTTAAGGAGACAGCATGAAAGTATTTTGAAATGGATGTTTTGTTCACAGAAACAATGAGGTTACTTGATGTACATCCTAACTTTAGGAAGATGTTTTCCAGACTTGATAACAGATCCTAATGACCTGCTCTCTTGATAGTTAGCATCTAGCATATACAGATTCTCTGTCACTGATCAGGGCATTTCTTTTCTTCTTCATTTCTTAGATCTATATTCCTCTTCTTCCCAAATGTTTCTAGTCTGGATATCTTTCGTGTCATTTCTGATAGGTAAAAATAAAACATGTAAATGTGAAACTTTGATTCTATTTCTAAAATCACTCACACTAAAGAAGTGTTTGAACTCAACCATCAGGTTTGATGCCCTATTCATAAAAGTTTAACTTAAAAGCAAAATAGTAGACAATAAATAGAAGAATAAGAACGGGCAAAAATTTAATCTTCCCTGATAGCTGACCACTCTGTTATGACGTTACCACATTCATTCTTATCATTGGCTATTTCCTGTTTTAAATGTCTTTTAGTCATGTCTGCCCCCTTTCTCTCAGTTTATTGGCCTGTGGTCACCACAGTATCTTTCTCTTCCAAATCAACTGACATTTTTATGAAAGAATTTGTCCAGTTCTGAGAGGGTGGCATACTGAGTGTGGGCTAAAACATTATTACAAAGTCTCTCTTAGGACAACTGTTGTATGTAACACTTGAGCTATGATGTCTTCAGAGGATCTGTTAATTTAGATTCATGTCGTGTTCTGTGAATAAACTGACATGGTTTTAAAAATGTAAAACATATGACATCATCATAGTAATGATCTATGCACTGCTTAATAGCATTTTTGAACAACCGCAAAACACCTATATTTTTTAGAGTGTAACCCAAGTTCAGACTCTTGGTAGTTTAGACAGCTCATGTTAGTCATTCTACAAGCAAGGCCTCGCTCATCCGGGCCATCTTGGGATTGAAAGCCCTCGCTGATTTACAAATGTGGTGACAATGAGTAGTAATCAAATCAGATAAGCACACTTCTTGCCTCTTACAAGAAATAAGCAATTAGTTACTAAAATAACCAGAGTCTGAATTTTGTGAAGTCAGCTGACATGAAAGGCATATGCTTCCAGTGGTTCAAATGGTATTTCCATTGATTTATTTTTCACATAGCTCTGAGCAGCCTGCACCTCCACTGTTTGATGTGGCAAAAAAAAAAAGTCTCTTGCTAATCCAAAACATTTGTTTTTAGGTGCCAGATTGACCTGTCGGCTCTCAGTAGGGAGCAGACACACAAGCTGGAGCTGCAGCTGCAAGAAGGGGAGGGGCACTTGGTACTGCTGGTCACCCTGACAGCTTCGGCCACAGTCAGCATCTCTGACCTCTCCATCAACTCCCTGGAGGACCAGAAAGAGCGCGAGGAAATATTGAAGCGATATGTACGTATGTAACCCTCCTCCCTCAGGGTCAGGGGTGACTAGATGAGGTTGTAAATAATTTACGTGGAGTGACAGGAATACATCTGCAGAAGCTGTCTGACATGAATCAGCAGAAGGCAGGGCAGGTGCAAATACCATGCGGATCTTTGCAGAAGCACTTGGGTGACCTGAGGCTATCTAGACCCCAGGTGTTTTCTCCAGTCTTTTCCAGAGCCAGTTCCAGAGTCTCGGGTTCTCCTCAGCGTTCTTTTCACACAGGGCAACCTTCCATGATGGAAAGTCAAGTTTACACAAGACTACTGTAAAGTGAGCTCACTGATTATTTGTCATTGGAATTAGAATTTCATTGTCTTTATACATTTGAAATGGAGTTAATGGCATTTTACTTTTTACTCGTAGCTTGATAAGTAGGGCTTCACTGGTGGCTCAAATGTTAAAGAATCTGCTTGCAATGCAGGAGACCTGAGTTTGATCCCTGGGTCCGGAAGATCCCATAGAGAAAGAAATGGCAACCCACTCCAGTATTCTTGCCTGGAGAATCCCATGGACAGAGGAGCCTGGCAGGTTACAGTCCATGAGGTTGCAAAGAATCAGACATGACTGAGCGACTAACAGGCTTTTCATAACTAGAGGATATTTACAGAAATCATTGTCTTTTTCAGCTGCTTAGAAAAGCCTCACTTCATCCCTTTAATTTTGTAATTATGGAATGTGAACTATAATTCAAAGGAAGCTTCTTTACCTTTGGATCAGATGTAGGGTGACAGGGCGGCCGAATGAGTCACTAAGTATCCTTCTCAAATTTTACCAAGCCCAAATGTGCAGACCAAGTCTCTTTCCCAACCTCCTCACAGTATGCATTTCCCACCCTGTAGTTTTCGTGAATCAACAGAGAGGGGAGCTCTTACTCCATCGTTCTCTTTCAGCGAAGCTTTGGAGAAGTGAATGTCTCAGTACCCATGAAGCTAGAAGAAAAAAAAAATGCTTTTCCACTTAAAATTACAAAGCTCGTATTGTACAATGCTTCCAGGTGTTTAGGAGGCTCCTCTAGACTCTCAGTCATGAAACCAAGCTCTGACTAACAAAGAACTGCTTAATTCTTTTTAGATTTTAAAATATTCCTGTTTGCTGACTGACATCCTTCCAATAACTGAACTTAATAAAGATGTACCTTATCAGGCTGTGCAGATAACATGAAGTGCTGGTACTAATGCTCTACAATATTCTTCAAACAGATTAGCAGGATGTGCACTTCAGCAAATTTATTCTGGCTATCTCCACTGAATCAGCTGTCTGTTAATGCTTGTACAACTCACCCACCAATGGTGTTATCATAAACAGTTTAATAGAGGTGACTTAGCAAGGCTAAATAGTATATATTTTTAAAACACCTAAGCGCCTTTGTATGGTATCTTCAAATATATAATTGCAGTTGGGAAAATTATTTCACGTTTTGGTACCCACCAAGACATATTCTCCTATTCCCCAAAGTGAGCCTCATGAATTAAAACAATTGTAAAGAAATTAATTCATATATTAATATAAAATTGATTCTAGGTATTATAATATTGTATTTTGTGGATTAATATTTGATACAGTCCCATATATTAGTATGATATGATAGGCTTGGTAATTAGAAATGATCCAATTACTATTGATTTCTTTTTTCCTTTTTTGCTACATGAAATTCCTCAAATCAGCCATTTCTGCTGAGAATTTGAATATTTGTTTCTATCCCTTCTTTCAAATATTAGCTATTATGTCAATAAAATGTAAAATATGTGGATGTCCCAGCTAAGTTCTCAAATTATATTATGCTCAGTATACTCAAAAGTGAGCCAAGTTTAAAGATACTCTTTTTTAGCCCTGAATTTCAAGATAAGCCTAAATCTCCCTTTAGAATCATACTTGCCAAGAAGCTAGTGTACATAATACAGCACATGTTATTATGATTACTCATAGCAATACAAGGACAAACACCTATATTTTAGTGTTTCAGAGTGTTTCCTTTTTATTAGATAGATTATAAAGTGAATGAATACTGTATGGTGTCTGAAATATCACTTGTTTTGAAGAAACATATAAAGGAGAATTTATTTGGAGAATTATCCATATGTTTCCCGGTGAGAACTTCGTGTATTTGTTTTTTTAAGCTTAGGTTAAACCTAAGAATTTGAGTTGGCACTGGTTGTGGTGAGGAAAGTAAGTGAATTGCCCCCACTCTTGCCTGAAACAGCCCTGAAAAGGCTCTCCCTTGCTGTCATTCGGCGGTTCATTGTGAAGCATTGAAGCCCCACAAATTAAAGACATTACTGTGTGAGCCATTATTTGATCACCACGTTCTGAAAAGATGGCTAATTCCATTTTTATTTTTTTTTCCCCTCCTTTTTGGAGGGAAGAAAGCAGGGAAGGTCAACAGGGGGCGGATAGTAATGGGTAGTAGACCAAGAGCGATTGGATGACCTTTTCAGAACCGGGATGCTAAACCCTTGCTCCCCCTTGTCACAGTTTAAAAACCAGAGGAGCTAGTTTAGAGAAGAAGTTGTTAGCATTCCATTTTTATTATGACATTTCACAGTCATCTGATTTAATGTCCCTTGACCGGATTGTCCACCGTGAGACGATGGGCTTGAAATGTTATTTAGAGCATTGATAAAAGGTGAGCGGTTCTAAGATGACAGCGAGTCATAAGGCTGGTGGTGTGACATTAATTTTCTCCATAACAGAGATGGAATAAGACGTCACGGTGACAAGCTGTCAATCAGCGCTGGCCCCTCAGAGCATCCCGATGCCATAGGATGGGGTGTTGCCTCTCCCGTAATAGAGCTGAACTGAGATGCTCTCCTGACAGCTGCTGCAGCCATAGAGAAAATATATTATACAGCCTTTCATTAAAAAAATAAAGAGGACTCCTCTCCAGAGCATTTCAATCTTTTCCCATCTATTGAGGGCTGAAAGGATTCACAGCAAATCATAGATTCCTCTGCTATGGAAATTTCTGGCTTCAGAATCCGTCCTGGTTTAGAGGCCTTCTAAAATAACCATAAATAACAAGGCCGGAATACCTCTTGATGAAGTATTCCTTAAAGTTATATTTTTTAACTGATATATTTACGTGTTTTGCTTCTTTTTTTTTTTCTCCCCCTTGGAGTTCTTATTATAATCCATGTGTTGCTGGCCTAAACAAGTTGAAATTTGCCATAAATTACTGACTGTCAGCTGACTGGAGAAAATGAAACGTTCAAATAATTACCCCTCTGCATGGAAAACAGAACTTTGGAGCTGAAGTACCAGTAGCAGTGACTCTGCAGTGAGTTTACCAGTATAAAAATGATTCTCGGACCGCAGATACTTGCTTCAGTCACAGTGAGACTTGGTCTAAATTGTTCCTAAAAATTAAAGGACAGGAACCTTTTTTGATAAAACTCCTCTCCGTGGTTAGATTAGGAGACTTACCTGGTCTTTAACAGTCAGTAAGCTCTGAGATGAGAAGCAGCTTCCCACACCTGATCATTACCACCTTAGGAAGACAAGGTGTCTACAGATCTCTGAATTATAACACTCGGTCTAACGTTTCCACTCTTAAACCCTCAATTTACTGGAATTTAAATGGAGAGAGAAGTGCATTTTTATTAAACCCTGTCATCTGGGTAGCTTAAAGAGAGTTTGGGTGATAAACAGCTGTTTAAAAACAATAAAAGATTAGGAGTTAATCCTTGTGCTAAACACTCTTTTTTCCCCCCGCAAAGTTAGGCTATGAGATTACACATCTATCTGTCTCCTCCTCTCAGCGCACCAAGGTCAGAGCTTCAGTCTAAACAATGACTGGTCATACAGGGCTGATCAGGTTCATATCATGCTAAGCGCGTGCCTCTCAGGATTCTCACGTTCTCAGTACAAAGATGGGAATGGTCTTTAGTAACGTTTTAATAGATGACTTTCTTATGTGAAACTGTGTTATGCTTTCCAGTTTTAAAGCATATTAAAGATGATGATAAAGCAGTGCCTTTGATTTACTGAATAAAAATACTGATTTTTGCCATGAGAAAGTTGCATTGAAGTGCAAATAAACAAATGTGTGTGTGTCCTGTCGTTGAGTCATGTCCAGCTGTTCACAACCCTATGGACTATAGCCAGCCAGACTTCTTTATCCATGGAATTTTCCAGGCAAGACTACTGGAGCGGGCTGCCATTTCCTTCTCCAGAATAAATGTGTATCATGTTCTATTGGCTGATTTTACTCTCTGTTTATGTTCATGAGAGTTCTGAATTATTTTCTTGGTGTCCCTTCTTTTAATTCCATTAGGTATTATACTTATTCATATTCTACCACTATTAATTCATGAAATTAAATTGGTTTTAGCATTTGGGTCTGATTCTTCTATCAAAATTTCTATACTTCTATACCTACTACAATGACAGATAAATTTACAAATTTAAGAAAAGATTATCCATCATTTTTGAATTGATTTTTAGCAATCACCTTGATTTATTTTAAAAGATTATATATGTCTTTTACCTGAAAGGTGTGTGGTATTTTCTAACATTTAAATCTTTTGAATTAAATATTAGAAAGTAACCTTTAACCCTCATCTAGCACCTACAGTTTCCAAAGCTCACCAAGGAGAAAATATAGTAGAAAAATAATTAATTTAATGTTGTCTTTCTTACTCCCAAAGCCTGAAGTGTGTTTGTTACTTATCCAACAATCTAAGATTCCTATTAAGAATCACTAGTCTCCAGATCATCATGCCTGTAGATGAAAGATTTCTTGGAGTGCTTTGGTAAAGGAGATGGATGGGAGAAAGCAGACATGTCATATTTTATAATTGATTGTTCACTATCTACTGCTAATTACTTATGGAGAAGCAATATTGTGGTAGTTTTTTACTCTTTCAAAAAATCTACTTACATAGCAATAATTATCTACACAAATGTATATGCGTATGTGTACACATTCATGATGGCAGAGAAGGGCATCCTTATTGAAGAAACACAAATATCCCTTGGATCATTTCAGCAGCATCCTAAGATCAACCATAGCACTTGGTGTTTCCTCAGAGCACTCCTAGAGATGCTTTAGGACCTTTCTTTTCTAATACTGACTTTGGGGTGTTTCAGAGCCCGTTGCGGATATTTCACAACCTGAAAGATGTGGGCTTCCTCCAAGTGAAAGTGATCAGAGCAGAAGGGTTAATGGCTGCTGATGTCACAGGTAAGAAATGCAGTTTTCCTTTTGCCTGTGTATCAAGCAGCATGCCAGGTCTATACAGTTTGATGAGTGAACTTCTCATTTCATCTGACTGAATCATCAAAGTAAATAATGTAAAGTATGTTGATCTTACAAAGATTTACTATCCACCTGATTTTTATACTGTCTCAGCTGTTTAAAAGAAGGGCAACATAATAAAAAATGAACAGTAAAAAGGAAAACAGCTTTGAATTGTTGCCTTCTCCAAGATTTAGTCAACACAGTGTTTATATTTCTTTCAGGTTTTGTCATTTTGGTGTCTTTGGGTAGTAATGATGTATCTTCTTCTCTTAAAACAGTATCAGCTTCCCTCAGATGATATTGTAGCATCAACACTGATAACTCAAACATGCATGCATGAAATCTCTTACATAGTTTGCTGAAAATTTTAGATACATAACACTCAATTACTTGGAATGAACTTTTGGTATTTGTGTTGCCGATCCAATTCTTTAGTTGTCCAAATTCACTAGCACATCTCAGAGATAATTCTGGATCTAAACTAAACACCTACATTGTTCTAAACTTTTTTTCAAGAAACAGGCCTGTAAAAATGCCAAAATCAATATGATGTCTTAAAGCTTCCTGATTTGGATACTGCTGTTTCTATAACATGTTAATTATTTCGTTACTTTCCAGAATGATTGTTTTAAATTTATAGCTATGTGAGCATTTACTTACTGTTTAATTTCATAGGATTTGGGAGGTATTTATACGATTCCTTAAATTGTCCATCTCAAGATGAACAATAAATAGGATTGACTTGACCGATTTTTGTGCAAACTTCCCTGTTCCTGAAAGAAAGTATCCACTTATAATTTGTAGAAATACGCTTACCACTGTGAATGGCCAGCAAGTTGACCCTCAAAGGGTAGCTAACTTATTTGAAAGGGAGAAATATACTTTCCCTACCAAATGAGGATTTGTAAGCTCATTATATGGTCACTGCTGCCCTTAATTAATGGAATAGAATCAAAACCTAATTAAAAGATCACATGCCTTGAAACTAAAATAGCAGATGTCTGTTCCAAAAGGACAATATTTTAAATTTTTTAATATTTGCATAGTATTGAGTGACTATTTATTGTATGATAAAGGTAAAAATGCTGGGACTTTACAGTTTCTTTATGGAGGATATTATCAACTCATTTTTAACCAAGCAGATAATAATAACTGTCAGATATTATTTCAAAATAGGCATACCTGAAAATAGTGGGAGAAAAGATTGTAATTTTTTGCATCTATACTGATTTGGCTTCCTGTACTAAACAATTAGTGAACACCAAGTTTATTCACATTCTCTTTTATTTTGTGTGTGATTGTAATCAAATTAATCTGGACAAAATGATTTTATTTATTATGTGCTTTCATTATTAGAACCAACAGTCAACATGAATGGTTGATTAACTGGTCTGTTCTTTTTTGTTCACTTTGAACATGAACTTAAAGACCAGAAGAGGAATTCAGTGCTGCTTTTGCACTACAGAGGTTCTGGCCAGCCTTTGATTCCCAGCAGCAGGTAGATTCATAAATTCATGGCAGTGACATTCACCATCACAGAAGGCATCTTCACTTTTCTTGAGTATTTTCTTCAGTGGAGGGGAGAACCCAGTGTTGGGCTAAAAGCATCTGAAGATAGAGAAAAAGACTAAAATTAAAAGTGTATCAGAGGGTATCATGTGTGTGTGCGTGCAGGCTAAGTCGCTTCAGTCATGTTCAACTCTTTGCGGCCCCATGGACTATAGCCCACCAGGCTCCTCTGTCCATGGGATTCTCCAGGCAAGAATCCTGCAGTGGGTTGCCATTTCCTTCTCCAGAGGATCTTCCTGACCCAGGGATCGAACCCAGGTCTGTTTATGTCTCCTGCACTGGCAGGCGGACTCCTACCACTAGCATTGAAGTGTTAAGAACTATCCCTGGATATTTATAGTGGGTACAATAATTTCTTATACAAAAATTCAAATCCCATTTACTTCAGAAGTTTAGATACCTGCCCATTACACAAGTTAAATATAATTATCTGTTTGTGTCTCTTGGAGAGAAGCTGTCATTGCTTTTGAAATTTCATGAATATGCCAATTACTTTAACCCAGTTGGCCTATATGCCACTATGCAAGTTAAAGTACATGTTCTCTTGAAGCTGGAGAAAATAGGTATATTTCTTTCATAATGGTTCTATGTAAATTAGTGTGAATAGCAATCGCCTTTTCCCTAGGGATTCAGTGAGACATAATTTTGATCTGATAAAATGGACTTTAATTTGGAGAATACTAAATAACAGATTCTCCATTTTTTCCTTCCAGTTTTAGGGATATAAATCTAATGATTCCTCATTCCACACTGACCTTATAATCTAATGTGCTCTGAATTGAACAAGAGAGATGTTGAACTATTCAGGGGCAAGAGGATAATTCAGTGTTTGACCTCGCTGACTCTTGGGCCTTTTGTGGTCTTTATGACATTTGTGATGGTGGCCAAAACCGAGGACCATATATTCAAGTCAGATGTCTGAATATTCTGCCATTTTTTTTTCCAAGTCTTTACTTTTGCAAAGGATAAATGCATACATACCTATAAATACATACATATAAATATGTACTGATCCTTCCTGGTCTTTAGCATGGAATTTGGGGCACAAATAAGCTCTTTGTATACTTTACCTCCTGCTTTTTCAAAGTAGAACTTTAAAAATATGTTGTGCATCTCAGTGGATAATCTCACTATGGCTCTACAAGATACTTAGCAACAGTTTCAGGAAAGGAAGAGAATCAGTGGTGCTGTCTACAAATGCTCAAATTAGCATCCATTTAGGATTGTTGTGGATGGAGAGGGGAGATTTTAAATCACTGATAGCTCTCTGTGTGAAGCAAAAAATACTTTTGAGCTGATATAAACGGGGCTGTTGCCATAAGATACTTGGTTGGTTTCCAAAGACTTTTCCTGACAGGTCCAGCAACACAAACTTATATTTTACCAACTTCACTCAATTCTTAAAATATTTTTAATGATCAGAATATCAAGTTAAACGTCCACAGTTTAAGCAAAAAATGTTAAATTACAATAATTTCATCATTTAGCAGGAGCACTAGAAAAGAGATGCTGTAATCTTTTAAGTAGCCATCAATCTTACTGCAGTTACAAAGAGTTTTTTCCTTTCAAAATGTAAAATTTTTCTTTTGTTACAACACATTCATTGAGAAACATTGTGATACTGTATTAACTCTGTGTGAATAAAGAGCAATTGAGACTCTCTTTGAATGAGTGAGTATAAAGCACAAATTACTTTTTAATGAAACCCTCAATTCTTTTCCTTTCCACAAAAAGCCTATAGCCTTGTTCAGCTGAAGGCTACTACAGTAGGTCACTTCAGTTAAGCCCCTAATAAACTGTTGATAGTTGAGGGTAGTTTTTTCTTCGGTCTCAATGGCCCAGTGTTGGACAGTGCACTTCAAATCATTAAGGTTAATACAGATTTAAAAAAGAGATTAACTCTGGTGGTTAAGGCCTCCATTTACAACTCCCACACATACACATGCATTGAGCGAGGCACAAGAGTGGATTGAAATTTCAGTCAAATTGTGGGCAGCCTTTCACAGCCTGAGAAAGTGGCACTCTGGTTTTCAAAGTTGGTCAGTGAAATTCTTCAGGAGGGAAAAAGTTCGATTCACTGAAAAATACTGCGTGGTACAACTTACTTACCTTTCAAGTACCCAGTGAAAAGGTTAATGTCTCTCTGGACCGTCAGAGCAAAATCTTCCGACTGGCCCTGTGTTCACTGGGGAAGATTCTACTGCTAAATCAAGTATTCCTTGAAACTAGACAGATTGTGTGGAGAGAAAGACCAATGAGGGGGGAAATTTTTTTTTTTTTTTTGGTGGTGGGAAAGAGTTCACTGTATGTTGGAATATGTCTTTCCTAGCCTCTAATTATTCTTCTTTGGACAGAGCCTAATTTTTGCTTTCAGCTGAACATTTAAAATCTTCTATATTGAGTGAGGCTTTCTTTGCAGAGTATTTAGACCTGGCCTCTTGGTTCTTTCAAGTTCTTAAAGAAGAAAAAGAAAAGGGTTCTTCTCCTCAGCCCCTCCCCTTCATTTTCCCTTGGGTTGTTTTTTTGAGCTCCTGAGGAAGAGGTCGCAGCCTCCCCAGGGATACCAGACACTCCGTTTCAGAAACACTGATATGGGAGAACTGAAACCCTTTCAAAAGATGCTCTGCCTTTTCACTGTATTAAAAGGTACACTCATATAAAACTTCTTCACTCCAGGTGAATTGATCTCTCAAATTAATGCACATCTCTTTCAGGAAACAATAGAGGGAGAGCAAGGAAAAAAAGGAAGAGAGGGAGAGAATTTTACAATTAACAGAGCTGTCATTGAAACAGTCCCACTAAATGAGCATATCTTTTTCCGGAACAAGGCTGCACATCAAGACTTGCGACTCACCAGCCCCCGGAGTCTGGAAACCTACTAGTTATTAAGAGAGATGTTTACTACCCCTTTATTTGCATAGACTTTTCCCATGTTTTTCTTTAGGAAAACTGTCTTCATTGTTGGAAAATATTTAAGTAACAAAACAGCAGAAAAAGACATGCTACAGTTTTTTTATCAGCTTCCGTGAGAGTCTTATTATCTTAAGAAATAACAGTTAGCAGCTCAGATTCATTAGCAGAGCTAAATTTAAGCCCCGTTTGACAGGCTGCCTAGAAAACATTTTGTTTTGCTGTCTGTGGGCTTTAATTAAGATGTGTTCAATTTCAGTCCTCTTCAGTCTAGCCCTACCCCCCCACCACCAACTTGCTGTATCACAGACGGCCGATCAGACACTTTTAGATGGTCCGGCCCATGACTTTGACCTTCTGCGCAGTCCGGCGTTCCCTGGGGAACCGTTCAACTCATGAGGTCTGATTTCACACTTCCAGGATGCCTCAGCTCTCTTAACAATGACGGGGAGACAAAGCCCTTT